AAATAACATTGTTTCTATAGTAGGACAAGATCATAAATAGGAGTAAGAAGGTCCGGCGGAATGAAAAGAAACTACCTCACAAATCTCCATATGAAACATCAGACAAGAAGAAGAGAAATATCACAAAGTCTGGGCTGATAACCTACAAAAAAATTGTATAGCAAGGGGTAAGTACAAACCACACGGTACACAACAAGTAAGCATCTAAACACAAGCTAAGGGGATAAAATACGAGTTATCCTTACATACAACCGAACCTCCACAACTACAACTTGCATAAAAACACAGCCCAACCTAATAGTTCACAGCTTTCGTAGAGCCCAGCTCATCAAAATCATTTTAGCAAATAATACATTGTTAACTACAAACTTATTATTCAACAATCACAACTTCACACAAAAGGAACTCGCGATATCAGCAACACACAAGATCAAATTTGTCAAATAGATATAATCAAATGTCATATACTTCCCAACCACCACTAAAACACATAACCATAAAAAATGAAGAATGTCATGGGATGCAATGCAATATGACACCATGAAGTGATATGCCTCAGAATACCAATTACTCTCTCAACCATATATACATGATACTCCTCGAAAATACATCGAGATTTCATGACCCATGGGGGACTTGCGAGGTCCACACATAGACACGAACGATCTCCACGTGTCTGTGCGGATGATCTAAATGCACTATCATAATTCAAAAAAAATTCGCTCGGACGATCTCCATGTGCCCAAATCAAAAACATAACTTTTGTATCGTACAGACCTTTAACAACCCTAAAATGTATAAGATATGTAATGCTTAATGTATCTAGAATGCCTACAATAAAACTAGGTTCACATGGATTGATACGCATAGAACAAGGCCTCTGAACCCTTGCGACAACCAAAAAACTAACTTTGGGTGTTAATTGATCTAACAAAGGTTGGGTCTAGCCATATAGGGCTCCTGAATATGAAGATTTGCCCGGATGATTCTTTACCAGACATAAAAAGGGGAAATCTTATGCTTTAAGGGTATAGGGGTAAAATGTCCTTTTTCAAGGCTAAGGGTAGTATTGTAATTACCCTAAATATGTAATTAATGTTTCAATTAATATGGTGGAGGGGCATTTTCGATAGAGAGGGCCAAAATTGCCCATTAAGCAAATTTTTGCTCTACCTGGGTTAAAACCTAAGTGGGAGAAATGATTTAATTTGTTTTAATTAATTTTTGTAGATTAGTTTGATAAATTAATAATTAATGGCTGATTTAGAAAATAAAAATCATATTTTTATTAATTTATTATTAATAAGTAATAAATTTGACTCAGACTTGCCAGCAAATCCTAGTTCTAAGGGGACACTACCTCACACTTCTCTCTTTCACGCTTATCAATCTACCTCTCACATCTATTTTCACGTTTTATATGTTAACAAAGCAGAATAAAAAATCAGAAATAACATCAAAAGTTCTTCACACTTGAAGAACTTAAAAAAATACAAACGGCAAAAACAATCCGTCAAAGTAAAGCTAAACGTGATATTCTCGACGGTTAAGGTGGGAGTTTCTGTGTTGGACGTTGGGTTGGTGGGGATTCGGGTAAGAAACTTTGAGGTTTAAACAACACCAAGAATAGGTGTGGGTTTTCTCTCTTTAAATCCTTCCTCCATAAAATTTCTTTCTACAAAATTCAATGTATGAAATTAGGGTTGTCATCTTTATTGTCGAATTCCTTGTCCCTAGTCTATTTCTCATTTCAATCTAAATTTGGTTAGAAATCATGTTGTTGGTATGATCGCTTTTAGCTAAGTGTGATATATGACGTTCTTTGTGATTTTGTTTTTTGAAATAGCAAGCATGTTCAATGATGTCAACCAAAAATGATGTGGTGCAATCTGTAAAATGTTTGTTGTTGTTCTACGTTTTGAAGCCTTAAAATGACTTGTTTAATGATTGGAATTAAGGTACATAAGATGTGTAATTTTTGATGTTTAAATGAAGTGTAAGGTTTCTGATCTTAAGTGGGAAAATCCAAGATAAAACAACAATGAATCTACACTTAAAAATGCGTTAAACAAATTGTGAAAATACCACAAAATGAATGTACGAATGTTGTTAAATTAAGGCTAGAAAATTTAGTCAAATTTTCAACAATTGGTGATGGAGTTTTGCCAGAACACTTAAGGTTTGAGAAGTTTAAAATAAATTTAAAACATATGAGGTCAGTGGGGATTGAACCTAAGACCTCACTACATGAAAGCAAGCAGGAAAAAAATGAGAGGTGTGAAATTCAAACCCACAACCTCTCAGCCAAACAAGTGTGTAAAGAGAAATTTTACAATAATAAAAATAACGAGAGGTGTTGGATTCGAACCCACCACCTCTTGGCAGAAAAAGAAGTCCAGTAGAATATGTAAATTAAAATAAGATGAAGCTCTGGGGATTTGAACCCACAACCTCTTGAATGGATGAGAGAGTCAGGAGAAAAATAAAGGAGAAAATAAATGTGGAGAGTAGGAATTGAACCCATAACCTCTTGGATAGGTTAGAAAGTTAAGAGATAAATTAAAATAAAAATAATGAGCTTGTGGGGAATTGAACCAACAACCTCTTTGCCTTATTACGAAAAAGGGGAGGAGAACAATAAAGAAATATTATGGGGTTGATGGGAATCGAACTAGGGTCTCCAAAATCTTAAAAATGCAATTATCAAGTTTAAAATATGATTAAGTATTGTTCAAGGGATTTGAATTCGGGTTCCCTTGCCCAATTCCGTATTGCCACATAAGTCCTACGTAAACAAATATTTAATGAATGCTGCCTCTAAAGATCAAAATCAATATCTTGGCATATCTACAAATGCATAAGTCTTGTACCACAAAATCTTGGGTAAACATGAATCACTTAGACAAACTATGAATGAAGCCTCATGGGTTGTGTATGTTGACTCATAATTCTAGCATAAGTTTAAAAGTAAGTAAACCTAAGATGTATGTGATGAAATGGTTAAAAACCTAGAAGAGGTTAAGTAAGTGTGTGAAACACAATAAATGGCCATGTGCATTGGCATATGATTAAATGAACATTCATGTAAAGGGGTGAGTAATTATGAAGAGAAAATGTCCTAAAGTTAATGAATGTGGTAACAACATGATAAGAGGCTAATGTGAAAAATGATAACAATCTCAAATGAACCTATGTAAATGTTACCAAAACGTACTCACCTATGAGAATATAAAGTTAGTGAAGTGACCAGTCTCTATGAATACTCTAATGAAAGTATTGAAGTTAATGCATAATTAATACTAATGATGGATGAGAAATCATCTAATAAGCTATGATGTCCTCACTCTAGAAGCCAACTTCCATGATGTATTAGTTGAATGTAACGGAACATTATACTGAGTACCGATAGGCTAGCTATGAGCGGTGATGCCTTCTTTCGGGAAGTGTGGAGGGTCGCGTAACTCTCATGAGATGCGACTGTCTTACATGTAAGGTATGGGTCTCCTTATATCTTTTATTCTTCGAACCTATACAACCTATATAGGGATCTAGCGGGGTTCAATTCCCATGTACGCTATCATGCTTTGGGTCACTTTGGCCGGTCATTCCACCTCTATTTGGTGTGGGGGAGACACAGGATTTCATGATGCTCACATGATCTTTGTCGGTTAAAGTTAAAGTTCCCCAAGAATGAATGAGACTAGCCTCAAATGATGCACATAATGAAATGAACGATACCTAAGGTGTAAGGATATGATAATCAAGAGATGAGATAGACTTAAGTAATGATGCTAGGTTATTCTTGGTCGTTGCACATCAACCCAATGAGAATCTTGACTACATCCTAGGTATGACAGGTGATTACACTACTATATGAAAGAATGAAAAACTAAGTATGTATGTATGAATGAAGCAGACTCTGTGTTTGCTAAAGAAGGCTCCCTAGTTGAGGTGACATATGTTGAGCCCTCATTTTAGAAAGTCCTAATGTTTAGTCCATGATTCCAAGGTCTCATGGCATATGAAAGAATGATATGAACTACGTGATATGATATGTGAAATATGTGATGTGTTGTTTGCAAAATGATAAATTTGATGATGAATGTTACACTCATGGCATGACTTTCACAATCCAGATTTCGCAGGTCCATTGACTTTCCTTATCCAAATTTGGCAAGTCCACTAACTTGACTTTCAATAAATCATGTTATTTGGAAAGAGATATTCTTACTCATGCATGTCCTTGGTGTGTGATTGCATATACCCATACTTAGTACAAGTGTGTACTAATTCCATACAATTATCTATTTTTAGGTGCAGGTACAGGTGGACGTTAGATCGTATGGTACAACGTTACAACTATCCAGACGTGGAGGTTTCATCCGGACTTGGTAGGCCCTCATGCTTTTGATGTTGTATACTATTATTATCTAGCTTAGATGTAGGCCTTAGCTAATGGAGCATGTTCCACTAGTGTTTCATTTCCCACTTCATTTTAGATTTTGTATTGGTGCCATCTTGGCAAGTACACATTTAATGCAGCTATGAACTATTTCTTTCATATGATGATTTTAATGTTAGATGGTTGATTGGGAACATTAATGAGTTTAAGTATACTGTCTTATACAAATGTTAAAAAACAAAAAGTTCAAATTTTCCGCAAAAATTAACCTAGAAGAAGTAAAGATGACGTATGTAGGCTTGTCACCAACCTCTAAGAGGTCAACAACGCGGTCTCTCTGGGGTCTAGATTCTGGTCGTGACAAAGTTTGTTATAGAGCACTACGTTAAATTTTGAGAATAGTAAGTTTACATCAACCACATTGAGTAGTTTATGATTCATGGTAGTGAAGTGCACCATTATCCTGAATTAGAGACTTCCTGATCCGTAGGAAAAGTTCCCTTATTCTAATCTTAGCGTGCCTTTCCTAATGTATAATTTTCTTGGTGTTATGAGCGTGTCTAACACATATCCTTGTTGTCTATTGAGAATGAACAATATGAGAGCTATTGGTCTGAGGAGAGGAATAGCAAATGCTAGAGACAATCAAGTTCCACTCCAGGCTCTAGCTGAAGGATTGGCTATTCCAGTTAACCCTGCTGGGTTGACTGATGCGGAGGTGCGAGCATCTTTGGCCCAGATGGCACAGGCCATCACTATGCAGGCCCAGGCCATGATTGCCCAGGTAAACCGACAGAATGTTCAAAGGGAGAACCCACCGGTACGTAACATGGCTGACAGGCTACGAGACTTAACAAGGATGAATCCTCCTATTTTCACAGAGTACAGGATTTCAGAGTATCCCCAAGAATTCATGGATGAGGTACATAAGATTTTAGTGGCCATGGGGGCCACAAATACTAAGAAGGCTGAGATGGCTTCCTATCATCTCAAGGATGTTGCATGACTTGGTGAAAATGTGGCAGGATAGCCGAGCTTTGGGCGGAGTTCCGGTCATGTAAGAGCTTTTTTACACAGCCTTCCTGGAGAGATTTCCCCCCAGGGAGATCAGAGAGGCCAAGGTTGAGGAGTTTATCAATCTTAAACAGGGATCGATGATAGTAAGGGCGTATTCCGTGAAGTTGTGAACTTATCCAGGTATGCCACTTCTCTTGTGTCTAACAACAGAGAAGAGATGAGTAGATTCTTGACAGGGAGCTGAGGATCTCAAGGAGGAGTGTAGGGCAGCTATGCTGCATGACAATATTTGCCTTTCTAGGATTATGGTCCATGTCCAGCAAGTGGAGGAAAGCAGGAAGAGAAAGCACACTAAGGTAGGGAACAGGTCAAGTCAAGTTGTGGACAAATTTTCAAGGAAGAGTAGTACTGAAATCAGGGATAAGACCAAGTTTAAGAAGGGACCCTTCCACCAAAGGGAGTCAAATTCATCCAAGGGTCGCTATGATAGGGATTCCGGGTCCAGAGTTAAAAGAAACAATGAAGTAGATACACCTCAAGAGAGACCACCTTGCTGGAAGTATGGAAAACTAAATGGAGGAGAGTGTATGATGGACACTAACACTTGTTACAGTTGTGGAAAACTAGGTCACATGGTGAAGGATTGTCCGAACCAGAAAAGTCAAGAACAAGGGAAGGAGAGAACTCATCTTAATGGTTCAAGTGAAGAGGCTCCAAGGAGGCAACAATTCTTTGCACTCAAGTATAGAGGTGCAGGAGAAGGCACCTCTGGTGAAGTCTCATGTGAGTATCCTTAATTAGTCCTTCAGGTATTTAACTGTGTATGATGTTTATGCACTAGTATGAGTTTAATATATTTGAGTCATCATGTTGGTTGCTGATTTGTATGACTTATATGTTTACTTATGTTGTATGCTTTGATGAGACTAGTTTAGGAAAGAGTTCCTTAGTCTATTAATGTGAAGCTACTAGTAGGTTTCAAGGATGTGCACCATCATATTAATATGTGAATCAGATATTCACTCATGGGGAGTATTGAATTACCTATGTAAGCATACATTCTATAGATGACTTACTTATTGTTAGTAAAGAGTAGTGTCATTCGGGGACGAATGTTCCTAAGGAGGGATAATGTAGCAACCTTAAAAATGTATAAGATAAGTAATGCTTAATGTATCTAGAATGCCTACTATTAGATTGGATTCACACGGATTGATGCGCAGAGAACCAGTTCTCTGAACCCTTGTAACAGCCAAGCCAACTAACTAGGGGAGTTAGTTGAGCTAGGAAAGGTTGGGTCCAGCCATGTAGGGCTCCCGAATATGAAGCTTTGCCCGGATGAGTCTTTATCGAACTTAAAAGAAGAATCTTAAGGCTGGAGGGTCTAGGGGTAAAATGGTATTTTTCTGGGCTAAGGGTAGTATCATAATTACCTTAAATATGTTATTAATTATTTAATAAATATAGTGGAGGGGCATTTTGGGTAGAGAGGGCCAAAATTGCCCATTAAGCAAAATCTTGCTCCACCTGTGTTCAAACCTAAGTAGGAGCAATGATTTAATTTGTTTTATTTTATTTAGTAATTAATTTAATAAATTAATAATTAATGACTGATTTAAGAAAATATGAAAATCAGATTTTTATTTATTGATTATTAATTAGTAATTAATTTGACTAAGTCTTGCCAACAAGTCCTAGTTCTGAGGGGACACTACCACACACTTCTTTCTTTCACGCTTATCCATCTACCTCTCACATCTGTTTTCACGTTTTCTTTGTTAACAAAGCTACAACAAAAATAAAAAATAATAACTATATTTCTTCACACTTGAAGAACGAATAACAATTACAAACGACAAAAACTATCCATCAAAGTAAAGCTAAACGTGAAATTCTCGACGGTTAAGGTGGGAGTTTCTGTGTTGGACGTTGGGTTAGTGGTTATTCAAGGAAGCAACTTTGAGTGTTGAAAAACACCGAGTACAGGTATGGGTTTTTTCTCTTGTAATCCTTCCTTCAAGAGAAATTTCTTTCTACAAAATTAAACGTATGAAACTAGGGCTGTCCCCTTTATTGTCGATTTCTTGGTCCCTAGTGTCCTTCTGATTTCAATCTAAATTAGGTTAGAAATCATGTTTTTAGTATGGTTGCTGGTAGCTAAGTGTGATATATGATGTTTTTTTGTGATTTTATGTTTCGAAAAAGCAAGCATGTTAAATGATGTCAACCGAAAATTATGTGGTCCAATGTGTGAAATGTTTGTTGTTGTTCTCCGTTTTGAAGACTTAAAATGCCTTGTTTAATGATTTGAATTAAGGTGTATAAGATGTGTACTTTATGATGTATAAATGAAGTGTAAGGTGGGTAATCTTAAGTGGAAAACTTTAAGCTAAAACAACAATGAATCTACACTTAAAAACACGTTAAACAAATTGTGAAAATACCATAAAACGAATGTATGAATATTGTTAAATCAAGGCTAGAAAATTTAGACAAATTTCAAGCACTTGGTGATGGAGTTTCGGCCAGAACACTTAAGGTTTGAGAATTTTAAAATAAATTTAAAACGTATGAGGTCAGTGTGGACTAAACCGAAGACCTCACTACATGAAAGCTTAAAAAAATGAGAGGTGTGGGATTCAAACCCACAACCTCTCGGCCAACCAAGAGAGTAAAGAGAAAATTTTAAATAATAAAAATAATGAGAGGTGTGGGATTCAAACCCACCAGCTCTTTGCAGAATAAGAAGTCCAGGAGAAAATGCAAATTAAAATAAGGTAAGGCTGTCGGGATTCGAACCCATAACCTCTTGAATGGATGAGAGAGTTAGGAGAAAAATAAAGGAGAAAATAAATGTGGATAGTGGGGATTGAACCCACAACCTTTTGGATAGGTGAGAATGTTAAGAGATAAATTAAGAGAAAAATAATGAGCTTGTGGGGGAATGTTCCCACAACCTCCTTGACTTAAAACGAAAAAGGGGAGGAGAACAAGAAAGAAATATTATGGGGTTGATGGGAATCGAACTAGGGTCTCCCAAAATCTGAAAAATGCAATTATCAAGTTTAAAATAAGATTAAGTGTTGTTCAAGGGATTGGAAATCGGGTTGCCTTGCCCAATCCGTATTGACACATAAGTCATGCATACACATATATTTAATGAATGTTGACTCTAAATATCAAAATAAATATCTTGGCATATATACAAGATGCATAAGTCTTGTACCACATAATCTTGGGTTAACATGAATCACTTAGACAAACTATAAATGAAGCCTCATGGCTTCTATGTGTTGACTCATAAGTCTAGCATAAGTTTAACAGTAAGTGAACCAAAGATGTATGTGATAAAACGATGTAAAACCTAGAAGGGGTTAAGTAAGAGTGTGAAACACACTAAATGGCGATGTGCATTGGCATATAATGAAATGAACATTCATGTAAAAGGGTGAGTAATTATGAAGAGCGAATGTGCTAAAGTTAATGAATGTGGTGACAACATGATAAGAGGCTAATGTAATAATTGAGAGCAATCTCAGATTAGCCTAAGTAAATGTTACTATAACGTACTCACCTATGAGAGTATAAAGTTAATGAAAAGACATGTCTCTATAAACACTCTTATGAAAGTATTGAAGCTAATGCATACATAATACTAATGAAGAGATGAGAAATAATCTAATAAGCTATGATGTCCTCATGTTATAAGCCAACTTCCATGATGTATGAGTTGAATGAAATGGACCTTTATACTGAGCATCGATAAGCTAGCTATGAGCGGTGATGCCTTCTTTCGGGAAGGGCAGAAATTCACGAAACTCTCATGAGATGAGAATTTCTTGCATGCCGGGAATTGGTCTCTGTATATATCCTAGTCTTTGGACCTATAGTGTCAATATAGAGATCTAGCGGGGTTCAACTCCCATGAACGCTAGCATGTTTTGGGTCACTTTCGATGGTAATTCGATCTCTTTTTGGTGTAGGAGAGACACTGGATTTCATGATGCTCACATGATGTATCTCGGTTAAAGTTAAAGTTCCCAAAAAATTAACGAGTCCAACCTCAAATGATGCACATAATGAAATGAATGATACCAATGGTGTAAGGATAGGATAATCAAGAGGTGAGATGGACTTAAGTGATGACGCTAGGTTATTCTTGGACATTGCACAGCAAACCCGATGTGAATCTTAAGCTACATTCCTAGGTATGACTGGTGATTACAATAGTATATGAATGAATGAAAAATGAAGTATGTATAAATTAATGAAGCATACTCTGTTTTTCCTAATGAAGTCTCCCTAGTTGAGGTCCCGTATGTTGAGCCCTCATTTTGGGAAGTCCTAATGTCAAGTCCATGATTCCAAGGTCTCATGGCATATGAAAGAATGATATGAACTACGTGATATGATATGTGAAATATGTGATGTGTGGTTTGCAAAATGATAAATTTGATTATGCATGTTACACTCATTGCATTACTTTCCTAATTCAAAATTTTGTAGGTCCATTGACTTTCCTAATCCAAATTTGGCAAGTCCACTAACTGGACTTTTTATAAATCATGTTTTTGTGAAAGAGCTATTCTTACTCATGCATGTCCTTGGTGTGTGCTTGCATATACCCATACTTAGTACAAGTGTGTACTAATTCCATACAATTATCTATTTTTAGGTGCATGCACAGGTGGACGTTAGATCGTACGTACAACGTTACAACTATCCGGACGTGGAGCTTGCATCTGGACTTGGTAGGCCCTCATGCTTTTGAGGTTGTATACTATTATTATCTAGCTTAGATGTAGGCCTTACCTAGGGTAGCATGTTCCACTAGTGTTTCATTTCCCACTTCATTTCAGATTTTGTATTGGTTCCATTTTGGCAAGTACATATTTAATGAAACTATGAACTATTTCTTTCATTTGATGATCTTAATTTTAGATGGTTGATTTTGAACATTTATGAGTTTTAGTATAATGTCTTATACAAATGTTAAATAACAAAAAGTTCAAAAGTTCTTCAAAAAATAATCTAGATGAAGTAAAGATGACGTATGTAGGCTTGTCTGCAACCTCTGAGAGGTTAACGACGCCGGTCTCGTCCGGGGTGTAGATTCCGATCATGACAAGACGATCTCCATGTGACTAACTAATTATAACTCGATCTCAACGCGGACGATCTCAACCTGTTAGACCTCTACTAATACCCAGTCTCATGTCAATGCAAGTGCACACTATGATATCAAAAAAAGGAGATGACACAACATCTCAACAAATCAAATGTCGCTATGACATATGATCACCTCATATCACAATTATGCGAGTTTAGTAAGAACACAATCTCACATAATAAATCAAATCAATAATATATTAGTTAATGCCCATATGTTTTGGCATTCTCGGATTACAACCTGCATACTATAGTAATAAACGTTCTCATTATGACATTGGTATTCGTACCATTCTCAATACATCACATACAAATAAATAATCACATTGTTTAATATTACCCCTTTTTATGATTAAAATTTATCAAGGTAGACAAGTCAACCCTTCCAAATCCCACTACTCTTAAACATATACCACAAAGAAATGCATGCATTCGATACACTTAGAAAGAGTTTAGAAATCCACTTTCCTCAAATAGTCGTACAGTCACTCCGGAACCTGAGTCTTTCCCTTTCGTTAGGCTTCCAATTAATGCCATCTATTCAAATAATTAATCACAATAAAATTTTAAAACTATCAACAACCATATTACTATAGACCTAGACTAGACCAAAAAACTTACATGAACC